CCCCCCCTTTGTCCCCCCCCTTTGTCCCCCCCCTTTGTCCCCCCCCCCTTTGCCCCCCCCCCTTTGTCCCCCCCCTTTGTCCCCCCCCCTTTGTCCCCCCCCTTTGTCCCCCCCCCTTTGTCCCCCCCCTTTGTCCCCCCCCCTTACCCCCCCCCCCTTTTCTCCCCCCCCTCCTTTCTCCTTCCACCCCTCCCCTCCCCAACTGTCCCGGGCTGATACCGCCAGCATTAACGGCCGCCGTGCAGTTTCATCAATTAATTTAATTATCTCCCCCCCCTCCCACCTCTATATTAATGAGCCTACCGCCTCTTTGTGTGGAGCAGCCTGGCGATGTGACAAGACGCGCGTGGTGGCACGAGGCTCTTCGTAATCCGGCAACGCTTGCGAGACAACAAATGGATGGCATTTGGTGGTGCCCGGAGATTTGCGGCGTTGTTGGCGGGGGGCGGGGGGGGGATAAAATAAACAAATAAAATTGCAATTCGCGTCCACTGTTGGTATTTGTGTGCGTTCAGGTGAGGAGCGGTGCGTTAGGGTAACGCAGCTTAATTGAAATTCTGAGAGACGTCGACGACTTTCTCATGCTGCCAAACGACGCGAACGCAAACAAATAGATTTTTCTTTTAAAAAATCCACGAGTGTTTTACATTTTAACGAGATATGACATCGTACCGGCGTTCCCTCTTGCTTTAAACACCTTTATTGCTTGTAACAAACAATAAACAAGATATTACATTACAAGCAAGCCAATGCAAACAATAAGGAACATATGCCGAGCATATTTATTTCATGATGGTTTATTTTACGTAACCAATGTCTGTGGCACGTTATTAAAATTTTGTATAATTTGAAGTGCATTTTCGTCATCTTTTGTGCAGTTTCTAAAGACTTGTTTAAGACGTACTGCCTCTTTGAGGTCCTGCATCAAATAAATATTGTCTTGATGCGCTCCCTTGTTTTTAGTACAGTATAACATAGCAGGTGCACTTCTTTGTGCACTCAGCCGATGTGGATGTGACACACACGGCGTCGCCCGGGATTCCTTCTTGCACCTGAGCTTTAAAAAAATACAACGTAGAAATCATACACGTTGTCTCACATTACACAGCTTCATAGAGTCCCAGCAATGTCGACGTCTGATTGGTGTATCCATAATAAATAATAATAATGCCGATTGAGAGTCCTTGATGAAACCCACTGCTGGATGACGGATTCCCAATGCTGTCTTTTTATTGAGTTTTTGAGGCAGCTGGCCAGGATTAGGCAAGGACTTATCCCGCTGTGTCATTAATGGGGGTTGTTTGACCATACCTCACCATGCTGGTCAACGCGGGTTGCCGAAGAAGAGGATGGCGAAGACCAATTTTGACATCACTCGCCACTGATTTCAGCCATGGCATGGAATTCAACATGCCAACGACTGCACCACCGCTCTCCACATCACCGTCATATGACGCCAATTCATTGAAATTCGCTCGATTAATGCAAAATAAAGTATTTGTTTCATTGTAAAATTTGCACGTGGCAGCACTCGGAGGGGGGGGGGGGTGTAGATGGAGTAACGACTGTGATTACAAAAGGGTGCAAATCCACGTCCTCTATTTATAAACGCCCCCTAATCTCAACGCAGAACTTTCGCGGCCCCACCCGATTGAGAGCACTGCACCGTTTTGCACCTTTAGCCAGCGACGTTGGCAGCTTCGTCGGGACGAGCTCCCGTTCGGCGTCCTCGCCTACGCCAATCGCACAGCGCGATTGCATGTTCACGTACGTAAAATATAGATCGTGAACAAACAAAAATGTGAGCCTTCTTGGTTCTTTCGGTAAAGTCACGTAGAAGGGAAAAAAAAATATTTGATAAATAAACATAATAAGAATAATACACATAATTGTTTTATTATGTTTTTTTTATATATTATTTTATTATTTCCCTTCTACGTGACTTTACCGAAAGAACCAAGAAGATGAATCCCTGCAGTCACGAAAGCTTTAAATCGAAAAAATGTGCAGTCACGAAAGCTTTAAATAGAAAAAATGTGAGTGCTTATTTTTATTTTGGCTGCAGTACACCATATGCCACGAAGTGCAAGTGAAACGTGCTTCCGTACGTACGTGTGCCACAGACACGTAGGTTTTATTTTATATATATAACCGGCTCGCGACACCAGCTGCTACTTTGAGCTATGCAACGTATTTTTTTAAATTGGCTTCTCTTCTGGCCGCGCGAGCGAGCGAGCGAGAGTGTCCCTGAAAATAATTCATGAATTTCACAGCGACCGTGCGACTACCCTCGCGTCGCGTCTTGGACATCTTGTCCCCCCCCCCCACCAGCCCGTGGCGCGCGCGTAGGTCTCGTTCTTAAGCAGCCGACTGATTTCGTTATTATGTCTTCTAAGGTTTTTTTTTCTTCCCTCGCCGATATCATTACCGCACCGTCGACGAATATATAAATAAACCCATTTGCAGATGTGTCTCTGAGCTCCGACGGCATGGGCAGTAGCAGACCGCGCTTGTTTAAACGTCCTTTTCCCATTCTTCTGTTCCTGTCATTGGACTCCCAATTGTGCATTTGGTCAGCCACATGTGGGCCGGACGCTGATAATTAATCATCCGCTCTTCGAGAGCTTCTGTACCTGGATATGACTTCGGTAAGTGATTTATCATTGACATTTGGGTTCAGTAATATCATTAGTGAGTTCATTCATTACGTGGTCTTACCCAAAATCAAGTATGGCTGTGGAAACCTATGGCTGAGTTGGCTTCGGTTGTCCATGCATGTGCTCATTCTCGAAATTGTCCAAACGTGGAGACATGAAGGTGAAGTTGCTTACTCATGCCAATGCTGGCGGGAGACTGCTGCAGAGAGACTCGCTAAGCAGGGCATTTTGGCCTCCTCTTCGACGCTGACCAGACTTTTTGGAAGAGGTGGAAGTATCCACGCGTTACCCCACCGCACGCGACCTGCCGATCAAATAACTGCAATCAACCCATTTACACAGCTGGGTGGTCAGAGACGGTTTTGGGGGGGGGGGGGTTCAAGAAACTTGCACCATCGTTTAAACTGTCCTGTGTTCAGATGGAATCGAACCGGCGACCTCTGGGTTGCAAGACCAGTGTGCTGCTTAACTATGACACCGCTGGGTCAGCATCCCTGGAGTTCATGAGACGAGGTTAAACCATGGGCTCTGTGACATGACCCCAGCCATGCCGCGTTCAAAGCCTTATCAATTTTCTCGGGGAAAATGCCACGATTTGAGAAAACAGGCAGTGTGCGAGGTCACTCCGCCGCCTATTTCCTTTGACCCTGTTTTTGAATGCGTTTGATACATTTTTTTAGCCAAAATAAATATTTGTGTAGCAAAAAAGTCGACAAATATGCATCTCAGTGGAAAAATATAATCAACCATCACACGGAATCTCCGGAGTGGGGTTGTTAGTCAAGCGTCACGTGATTGTTTTAGGTTGCCACCTGTCCGGATTTTCCCAGGATGTCCTCTTAAATCCTTTATATTAAGTTCACTTGCTTGCTTGCTTGCGCGCTTACGACCGTGCAAATCTTTCGGTCGTTTTTTATCCCACTTCCCGTGATCCAATCGAGCTGACATTTTGCACACAGACTCGTTGTGCGTGCCAATTTATTTTCGTGAAATTTTTGTTTCCAAAATTTTACACTTTTTAGGAAAAAATAAATTATATTTAATTACCAATTGCTTAATGGTGGCAGGCAATCAACTGACCCATAGGTGGCAGCCATCTCAAGCCAGAGGACGAGAGGACTCTAGCCGCCACGCATATAAAGGATTTATAGTGAAAAACTTTGTTTTTACGGGTTAATTTTTTGAGGTGTAACCGTCCTGGGAAATTTGCAAAAGCTTTTCTGGGTCATCAAAAACTGCCAGTGTTGTCAGTAGTGTCATTAATACACCACTTTAGTAAAATGGCCCTCTTCTTACCGTATCGTGGAATATTCTTCCCATGACTCGACCCAGTTTACGTTGTGCCCCAAGGGTGGTGACACACCCAGAAAGTGCTCCATTATTAATTACCCTTCTTAACGACGGCACTTGGCAATTTACAGGCATCTGCTCCTTTGTGCTCATCATCACATGCTGTCTATGGCTTCATTTTCGACAATTACATTCTGTCCTACACGTTTTTTTTTCTGTATAAAAACCGGTGCCTTCTTATCGCCGCAACATCCTGAGTGATTTGCCTGCCCGTGAATTTGTTCAAATTCCACTTGCCTCTCGAGCGCGGATACCAGGCACATTGCCTGGCAGATCCTCCTGAACGAGACCAAACCAAAAATATCCACCACCTTGGCTCCGCTTAATCTCAACACAATATGCCGAGCGTCAGCACAGCTCTCCCCGCCGTCAGGCGATCTTCGCGATTTAGCCCGGAGTCGAAATCAAAAGCAGTGAGAGGTACATCCGACAGCTGTATTCCCGTCATGTCATTTGCACCCTGATCTCTCTAGCTATTGGAACGCATCAAATGGTGTATGTGTGCTGCTGCTGCTGCTGCACTGTGGTGAGCGCAGGGGGGAACGAGGGGCGGGGAGAGGGGGGGGACTGCAGAAATTTACAGCGTTCAGTTAAGTAGGCGCGCGTTAATGTGCAGGCTGAGACAAAGACAATATCCGATAAGGTGCGAGCGTAATTTAAATGCATTAACACCCTAAATAGGCCGTGCAGGATAAATGTTCTGATTTTTTGTACCACAAAGCACGGCAAAAAAAACACACACACGTGCATTGCATTCGCCTCTTTGTGTTTGGCGAGTGGATTGTGGGTAGCACCCAGAATATTTCAGGACCGAGGCCCCGTGCTTGGCGGAAGAGACGACAGAAAATTACTGCGCCACGAAAAAAACATTCCTATTTTAAATTTCACCCACGTTTTGGGTCCCCTTTTTAAACTCCTTTACAATTCTGAGTGTGCAATTCCGTTTGCGAAATATGTTGCGTCTAGTTCAAAAGCAGAGCGTGTAAAAAAAAGTACAAACAAGCCTGCGGTGTCGAACATTTTATCAATGGAATATTTATCAGTAATGTTGCCAAAAGTGTGCTTCCTGTACGCACGAATGGCGCTTTAGTGGCCACCTGTACCATTTATGAATACGCGCTTTTATGGCCGCATATAATTGCAGCTTCACACCGCGTGGCTCAGCTCATGTGGGCCACTTACGCGCGAGTCTCACGACGAGACCAGACAAAGCAGCGCACAGGAGTGTCTCAAGAACGCGAGCGTACAAGCAGCGCTCCAAATAGCTTCGCTTCTTTCACCATACCTCTATTTTCGCCAAAGTGCCGCAAACTTCCCTGTGCTCGTGAAAATGTTGTTTGTCAGCAGTCGCCTTCCATGTCCCTGCCGGCATTCCATCACGGCATGAAGGGTCGTCTGCATCGCGTGACCATTGTGAACAGATACGGCAAAAGACAATTTTCAAAATTGCAGCTCGCTTAGGCTACGCTTTAAAGCGCTCAATGGATGAAAGTAAAATGGTGCCGCAACTCGCCTTGTGCTGTAGTTAGATGGGGCAGCAGAGTCCATCCAAACTATTCAATGGCCTGTGATGTTCTCGTGCATGGTCTGGCATTGCCTTGTCGGCGGCGGGCTTCTGCCATTTAACGAACGTTCATGCCCTTTTTGATGGACTTGTGAAGGAATTAAATTGTTACATTTTAGTTAAATATTCAGGTTCAATCATAAAAAAAAATATGATCGAAAGAAAAAAAGAAAAAGTTTTTTCTTTCGCGGTTCAACTCGTAGTGCAAACGCCCTGACCTTTACGCCGGTGGTTGTACTCCTTCGTTCGAAGCCGTCGCGCACACACATTGCGTTTTTTTCGATACCGCTCGCACAGCCTGCCGCTCCTGTGCACCTTTGGCATCTCTCCGACGAGACAGAATGGGAGGGTGGTCACGCAAACCTCTGCAAAAAAAACACGCCCGCGCCTTTTCTCGCATGGGAAGGGTGGGGGGTGATGGATAAATCGGTCCTCCTGCGCGAGCCAAAGCGACAAAATGTGTCGCTCGACAACAACAACAACAACAGATTCCGCGGGGCTCCTTCAGTTCACGATGCTCGTCTCGGCCAAGCGATTGTTCATGATGGCCAGCGAGCCCACGCCGTACGAAAACCCGTTGTCCACTTTGACGACGGCGGCGGCGGCGGGCGCGCTCGATGCCGTCGCTGGCGCCGTGCCGTTGGCCGCTTCCGACAGCTGCTTCTGCATGATGGCCAGCGACACCTTGTTGGAGGCGAGGAAATCCTGCATCGAAATCATCTCCCCCGACACGCGCCGCCCGCCGTCCGTCTCGCTGTCCACGCCCAGGTCTGTCTCGATGGAGATGGTGCGCATCTTCTGGTGCTGCTGCTGCTGTTGCTGCCTCCTCTGCCAGTGCCGCTGATGCTGCTGGCTGTGTTGTTGCTGCTGCTGTTGCTGCTGCTGTGTCCGCGGCTGCTGACGACCGTGCTGCTGCTGCTGCTGGTGTTGCTGATGATGATTGAGCTCCTGGTGCCGGTGAACGTTGCTGGGCACGACCGCGTTGCGTCCCCTCGGCCGAAACCCGCGCTGCCACAGGTACCGCCGCGCCTGCTCCACCTTCTTGAGCGTCCAGTTGAGCAGCTGCTTGATGACTATGGAGATGACGTTGAAGAGCGAGTAGATGCAACACACGCCCAGCAGGATGAAGGCGAAGTTGACGAAGCGGTAGGCGCTCTGGTCGACGACCTTCGTCGCGGCCGCCTGGCCGCTCACCAGGTCCCCGAAGCCGATGGTGCTGAACGCCACGAAGCAGAAGTAGAGCGAGTCCACGTAGCTCCAGTCCTCGACGGCGGAGTAAAGCGCCGACGCAGAGCACGCGATGGTGATGGCTGCAGCTCCCAGGATCAGCATGACGTGGTAGACCGACGGCTTCCACGCCTCGCGGGCCACGCCGTCGTGCCGCGTTCTACCGGGGCCCGCAGCGGTCGCCGTGGCCGCTGCCGCCGCCGCCGGCGCCGAGGGCCCTGCCTCGGAGACCCACGCGGCCGCCACCTGCCGGCCCTTGCGCCAGAAGCGGCGCTGGCGGCAGGAGCGCATGACGCAGGCGAGCAGCGTGATGAGGCGCTCGAGGAAGAGGTTGAAGAAGAGGATGGCGGCCGAGCAGCCGAGCATGCCGTAGAAGATGAGGAACACCTTGCCCGGCACGGTCGCCGGCGTCGTCATCCCGAAGCCTGGTGATGACAGCGAGGGGGGCCCGGGTTGGGGGGGGGATGGAGACAGCCCCCACCCCCCACACACAAGTCACTGATTCGCCGCGGTCACAACTCAGTCAAGTCACGTCCGCATCGCTTTTCTTCCGCTACTACCGTGGTTGCTGTTCCCACGAACCTCACCCGCTCATTCCTTCATCGACAGTGGCGTGACCAGCGTGGGGGCAGGGGGGTGCCTTGGCCCCTCCTGGTGGGCAAAGCTACGAGTTGGGGCCCCCTTGACAACCACCATGAGATGTGTTTTCTACAACAGTGTAACAGAACAACAAACTTATTTGGTAAAGACGGAGCGCCCCTACAGCGTTAAATGTTCGATACCGTGACTATAAGTTTCGATTTAAAGCTTTCGTGACTGCAGAGACCGTGAGTGTAATTACGTGATATATAGTCTCGGTGTAGCCGTGCGAGACAGATCAAATCCAATATTGTGGCCCCACTTGACCGAGTGCCGCACCACCTGAGCTGTTAATGTATTTACGCCACTGTCCACCGATGTTGAGCACCCGGTCTGCCAGGACTGACCATGTCGTCTGCTCCACACTGTGTACAACCGCCGCAATGCAGGAGTCCACAACAACGCTTCCCTTTCTGCTTCGTCCCTCGCACCGTGCCACTTTGGAATCCCATCGCATCGCTTTATATTCAAAGTTCTCATAACTTCGCTCAGTTAACATTTTTTAAATTAAATCTTAACCACTACACCAGGGGTCGGGAACCTTCTTGACTGGGAGAGCCATAAAAGCCAAATATTTCTAAATATATTTCATTGAGAGCCATATATTATTTTTAACGTATAATAAATTAAATATGTCTTACTTTTAATGCGACTTCTGGTCACGGGATCCGTGACCCGAGAAATTTTATCTTCAAAACGAATTTCTGTTTACTTTAAAATGACACAGTATTATTAAGCAATATCACAAGTATTTTAAAATCAGTTCCAAACTGATTTTATTTTTATTTTTAATTTTTTTCAACTCAAAATTGTCTGGGAGCCATATGCCGTCACCAGAAGAGCCATATATGGCTCGCGAGCCATAGGTTCCCGACCGCTGCACTACACCTTCAAAATTGCCATTTGTTGTTGATGGTTTTGGGGGCTTTTGGGCCTTTGCTTTGGAACTGTGGTTTTAAAGGAAAAGAAAAGCCATGGTCAGTCCACTGCTTAATGAAGGCCTAAAAAAAACTGTCGCTAGTCCCACAATGTAACATTCCACCTGGCCCCTGCACACGATATAATTTCTCGATGGCTGCGTTTTACAAAAAAAAAATGCACCACTTACCTCCTCTATTTATACAGGAAAATCTTGCCGAGTCTTACGACTCTCTTTTTCGGGAGAGTTCTGCATTGGGCTGCTAAACAAGCTCCACAACGAGTGCTAGGCGTCACGCTGGATGAAACTGCCGTACCCGGGAGCGTTTCCCCTCCTTTAGCTGCCACGCCGTCGTTAGTCTCGACCACCGGCCATCGCTCCTCTCTATGGGCGTGTTTCCGCCCAAGCGCACTTTGACCCCTCTCCACCGTCAATAACGGTACCGTTAACTCGCGCACGCGTTCTCCGGCCATCGCGTTTCTGCTTGTGTGCACGACCTGCTGTGACGTGACCCAGAAACACGGCCATTGCTAACGAGCGTGCGATAAGAAGTGAAAAGTGCACGTTCGCTTTCGTTGCCATTCAGCAAAAATTACTGCACACCGTCGGGGTTGGCTTCGTTGGCAGACTATAAACTGCATAGCTTCCTCCCCCCAAACCCTCCCCTTACTCCCCCCCCCCTCCCTCATTCCCCCACACCATGTGGGGCTTCCCTGCTCCATCAATATAAAAAACACGTGACCAGGGCAGTGGATTGAAGCGTGCCTTGTAATTAATGACGCGTACTTTTTTTTGGTACATTTTCGAAATAAAAGCTGCATGACGCCAAAGGTGTCACTCCGAGGAGAGACGCTGTAGCCGATGGGTAGTGAGTTTGGGACAAGTACAGACGTTGCGTAGATTTTGTTTTGCTTGTTTTCATTTCGCGGAGTGAATGTGTAAATGCAATTTGTGTTCAAGCCGCGCTCTGAGCGTGACGACAACTGAAGGTGGGGTGCCGACATTTGTGGTCACGTGGGCACCGAGCCAATTGACCCTCAACGAGTTAGGAGCAGCCAATAACTGAACCAGCGCGCACGTGAAATGTTTTACTTTCTTGTTTCACCCCCTCAAAAGCTCGGTGAATACACGGCCCGGATAATCCGCCCATGGATGATTGAGAGGTGAATTGTGACTTCCTGCAGTTACCTTTGAATGATAAACCACACGTCACGTCTCCAGCGACGTGACGAGTTATTCTCCTCGGCCATAACATTACACGATACCGAACTGACGGTGGGGTGAGGAGGAGCAGGTGTTTATTAATAGATGTTTCTTGTCATATTTAAACAACGCCTAATTACAAAGCCAGAAAGGTCAGGTTAATCGTGGTCCCGGGCTGCCTGGAATGGGGCCACTCCGCTCTTGAATAATTAATAACGAAGAGTGACAAAATAGCATTTGCATAGCTGTCAATCTAATACATTCTTTTTTTTTATTAAGCCGATCAGCAGCAGAACATTACGAAAGGGCAAGAGCCGTAAACTGACTGACGGATTACGGCAGCCTCGGCTGTGGTGGCATCACTCCCAGGGACTTTTCGCGAGACAGCGCACGCCTGAGCCGAGTGGGGCTTCTTAAAAGTAATTGTTATTGTCGTGACGCTCGTTTTACCCACGAAAGCTTCACGGAGTCTCAAGACTATCTTTTTAGGAGGGCCCTGCCAAGTTTTCGCAGTAGAGGGGAGATGTTGCTGTGTGTGTCGAGTCCCAATTTGATTATTTGCACGTAAATATTGTCGCCTTGGGATTGTTTTTACCAACAGCTGTTACCTTGTGTGTGCGGTTTTTATTTAGACATGGAAGGAAACCAAAATACTTGAAGGGAACTCATGCAAAATAGGGGAATACAAAGTCCACACAGAGAGGTGCCTGAGTTGGGAAAGGAACCCAGACCTTCCTTTCTGTGTGTTGCCAGTCACATGTTGGGCTGGTGGCTGATTGGTCAATGCCACCTGCATTTGTGTATGGGTGGAGAATTGGTCACCAACCTCGACATATGTTCAAGTCGAAGTTGGTAAGCCAGCAAAAAGCCCTGGTGAATATCTGAAATTCTACCTGCGAATGATCTAAGTGGGTTGCGGTGTTACTTTGTGGTCTGTGGCATGAGGAACAGACTAAAATGAAAATGCATTGACTTACACAGAGAGACCCACAGTCTTACAGAAACACCGACAGACTCGCATAGATGTCAACAGACTTAGGCAGACATTTGTTCTTTTATAAATGTGAATGTCGATGTGGGTGCTGTGAGCAAGTGGATGGCTTCAGGCGTAGCCTGGTGAGTATCTGAAATACCCGCACTGCAGAGGTCGCAACCGGGTACCCCATACCCTACCCGATACCCGGCTGGTGCAGCCGGGTACGGGTACGGGTAGACCGTGAGTCACCAGTGAGTAACCGTTTGTCACTCATTTCCCAACGTCTTGTCTCTTCTTACAATTCAAGTTCCTAGAATCAACCCACCCACGCCTGCAACATGGCTTCAATCAGGTACCCGATACCCATACCTGTACCTTACCCGTACCCCGGCCGGGTACGGGTAGGGTACGGGTACCCGTTTGCGACCCTGGTGCGGCGCGGGTACGGGTAAGGAATCAAAACCCGTTTGCGACCTCTGCCGCACTGCTATTGGGCGATCAAAGCTATGCGGGGTCAAAGGCCCAAAGTCGGCACCACCGGGATCAAATGCAAGTGTAGAGGTGTAATTGCGCATGGCTACGTATGTTGAGGTGTGATTATGCATGGCCACGGATGGCCAACAAACACAATGGGCGGGGTTACGGCCGTACACAAGGGTGGCGCTAGCACCGACGTCCGCATGTGTATCCCCCACGGGCCCCCCCTCGGGGGCGAGTCCTATAAAAGGTGATGAGCTCGAGGGCTCGAGGTCGGGACTCAGCTTTAACCAGAGAAGACGGAAGACCAGCTAGTGTAGGCCCCAGAGCTCCCCTGGCTCGCTGTCCTTATAAGGGCCGACCAGGGCAAGCCGGTGGCGTGGCCCCGAGAGCCCAGACGAAGCTGGTCTGGTGACTCAGGGAGCCGGGATCCCAGCTTAACCAAGCTGGGACAGATAGCCTCCCCTAGTCCCGTAGTGGAGGAATTGGTATAGGTTAGAGGGGTTAGCTGTCGAGAATCCCTGTAGCCAAGTGACCTGTACAACTGTGTTGGTGTAATAAATAAGTGTGCCTCCGATCCTGTCGTCAAGCCTCCATATATACTTACTACATCTGGTGTCAGAAGTAAACGTCCAACGATGGACACACGAGGGACGACACGTACCAGGGAGTCGGAGATGGAAGACGCCGCGGCCGAATCTCCACCAGTGATGGCCGGGGTCGAATCGGAGCAGCCGGGGCCGAGTACGCCCGCGCCGCTACGACAGGAGGAGGGGGATGCGTCGGCCGAAGGACTCCGGCTGGCCCACTCCCGCCTGGCGGACCTGCTCTACGCCGCGGCCGCCGCGTTGGAGGAGATCACGCGGCTGGGGGCTGGAGGAGCAGCGCGGGTCGACGACGGCAGCCGGCGCGGGGCGACGTTTCCCGCCACCCCGACGCGGCTCGCGGTCAAATTTCCCGCCATCTCTACAGTACGAGCGGAGGGCGGGGCCGGCCCGCGTCACGTGTCTGCTGAGCGCCAAGCACAAGCCGTGACATCATCAACGCCGGCCGGCGCGTCAACATCAGAGCGACCGGCGATGCCATGTGCACGGCCCGCCCACACTGTATCATCGGCGGGGAGCGACGGAGAGCGTTCTGCGGCCACGGACGCCGCCTTACAACAGCGTCTGCCGCCTCTTAAAGAATTTGTCGGCGCTGACGGAGACTGG